TAAACGCAGTTGACAGTGAGAGGACGTTTCTTTTTTTGCTGAGTTTATACAGTGAGGGAAAAAATTATTTGATCCCCTGCTGATTTTGTATGTTTGCCCACTGACAAAGACATGATCAGTCTATAATTTTAATGGTAGGTTTCTTTGAACAGTGAAAGACAGAATAACAACAACAAAAATCCAGAAAAACGCATGTCAAAAATGTTATAAATTGATTTGCATTTTAATGAGGGAAATAAGTATTTGACCCCTCTGCAAAACATGACTTAGTTTGGTGGCAAAATCCTTGTTGGCAATCAGAGGTCAGATCTTCTCCAAGTCATTAAGGTTTCGAGGCTGACGTTTGGCAACTCGAACCTTCAGCTCCCTCCACAGATTTTCTATGGGATTAAGGTCTAGAGACTGGCTAGGCCACTCCAGGACCTTAATGTGCTTCTTCTTGAGCAACTCCTTTGTTCCCTTGGCCGTGTGTTTTGGGTCATTGTCATGCTGGAATACCCATCCACGACCCATTTTCAATGCCCTGGCTGAGGGAAGGAGGTTCTCACCCAAGATTTGACGGTACATGGCCTCGTCCATCGTCCCTTTGATGCGGTGAAGTTGCCCTGTCCCCTTAGCAGAAAAACACCCCCAAATCATAATGTTTCCACCTCCATGTTTGACGGTTTGGATGGTGTTCTTGGGGTCATAGGCAGCATTCCTCCTCCTCCAAAAACGGCGAGTTGAGTTGATGCCAAAGAGCTCGATTTTGGTCTCATCTGACCACAACACTTTCACCCAGTTCTCCTCTGAATCATTCAGATGTTCATTGGCAAACTTCAGACGGGCCTGTATATGTGCTTTCTTGAGCAGGGAGACCTTGCGGGCGCTGCAGGATTTCAGTCCTTCACGGCGTAGTGTGTTACCAATTGTTTTCTTGGTGACTATGGTCCCAGCTGCCTTGAGATCATTGACAAGATCCTCCCGTGTAGTTCTGGGCTGATTCCTCACCGTTCTCATGATCATTGCAACTCCACGAGGTGAGATCTTGCATGGAGCCCCATGCCGAGGAAGATTGACAGTTATTTTGTGTTACTTCCATTTGCGAATAATCGCACTAACTGTTGTCACCTTCTCACCAAGCTGCTTGGCGATGGTCTTGTAGCCCATTCCAGCCTTGTGTAGGTCTACAATCTTGTCCCTGACATCCTTGGAGAGTTTTTTGGTCTTGGCTATGGTGGAGAGTTTGGAATCTGATTGATTAATTGCTTCTGTGGACAGGTGTCTTTTATACAGGTAACAAGCTGAGATTAGGAGCACTCCCTTTAAGAGTGTGCTCCTAATCTCAGTTTGTTACCTGTATAAAAGACACCTGGGAGCCAGAAATCTTTCTGATTGAGAGGGGGTCAAATACTTATTTCCCTCATTAAAATGCAAATCAATTTATAACATTTTTGACATGCATTTTTCTGGATTTTTTTGTTGTTATTCTGTCTCTCACTGTTCAAATAAACCTACCATTAAAATTATAGACTGATCATTTCTTTATCAGTGGGCAAACGTACAAAATCAGCAGGGGATCAAATACTTTTTTCCCTCACTGTATTTTGATTTTGTTTAACACTTTTTTGGTTACTACATGATTCCATATGTGTTATTTCATAGTTGTGATGTCTTCACTATTACTCTACAATGTAGAAAATTGTCAAAATAAAGAAAAACCCTTGAATGAATAGTGTTTAAAGCTATCCAACACTTTGTTTTCTGATTTGGGCTAGCCACCATTTCAGAAAGGAACATAAACCCTGTCCCTGCACCTCCTCTAGTTACTAGAAAATACCAGAACACAAAATAACTCCCTGGAGCACAATATCTAGATGATATGACCTAGTTTCTCTGACTCCCCTGGGCTTGACCGTGTTGCACCATGCTCAATGGAAATCTATAATTGTTTTGCTGTTGACTTGTTGCGTCATGGAAATGTAACCTAAGCTCAGAGAGGATTAATAAACAGTCCGTTTGACCTGTGTCCCTAAACTGGGATATTTCAGGAAATGTCCACGGTCTGACAATTTTTGATGTATTTGAGCAATTAGATTTATATCACATTATACAAATCTAACAATGATTGTCACAAAACATATCACAATATATATATATATATATATACATATATATATATGTGTGGTGGATGTTGACAAGGATCAAGGTTAAAAACAGACAGAGTAGCTGATGGAAATATGAACCAGTCTGACGTGCATGCTGCTATTTCAGCCCCAGATAACGGGTTTGTGTGTGTCTGTGTGTCCGTCAGCTGTGAATGAGCTCTGCATGAGTAAGTACATTTCTATGTAGAACGCTACTGCTGTCATCTGACTGTGTCTGTCACTGTGTCTGTCAGTGTGCACAGAATCTGCTATTTGTGTCTGAAAGCAATATATTAGTCTTCCTTTTCCATGAAGCTATGTCAAAGGCTAAATAAGGCATTTTGTTCACGTCAAAATCTATTTGATTTGTGCTTATATTGTGTAGACGTCTCAGATAAACGGCTACTGTGTATCCTGAACTACCAGACTAGGCAGGTCTGTGGTATAAGAATAGATCTCTTACACACACAGGAAATCGCTGTGGGCAAACATGACTGTTGTTGTCGCGGCACCTCAAATGACTGTCTCATACATGCAGAGCAGAGGCACAAACACCACCTCTCCCCAAAGTCACTTCCTCATCTCTTGTGACCCCACACTCTCTCTCTCTCTCTGTTTGTAAATAACCTGCAGCATGACAATGCTCTCCACCCTCATCTATCACTCTGTTTTTCTTTTCACTCCCCCTGTTCCTCTCCGTTTCTCTGTTTGTAAACAGCCTCCAGTAATACTGTCTTCTATCTCTGTTTCTCTCTCGCTGTCTTGGATTCACCCCCATTTTGTCTATTCCTTGCTTTGTCTATTCCTTGCTGCATCTTTAACTCTCTCTCGGCCTGTCCCTTTCCCCCATCCCTCCCCTCTCTTCATACCCTTTCCCTTGGTTCCCTGGTTGTGCTGCCAGGTGGTTAACACTCAGCCTGCCCCTCTGTGACCGGTCTCTCTGCTGTGAGGTGAGGTGAGGAGCTAGTCTGTATGAGTGCCAAGAGAGTCATTCTCTATTCCTGCAGGATCCCACCCCTCAGTCGGCTCACATCACCTCAGCTCCCCTCCCCTCCCACAGTCACCTCAGCTCCCCTCAGCTCACCTCACATGTGGTCCTCTGTAGCTCAGCTGGTAGAGCACGGCGCTTGTAACGCCAAGGTAGTGGGTTCGATCCCCGGGACCACCCATACACAAAAATGTATGCACGCATGACTGTAAGTCGCTTTGGATAAAAGCGTCTGCTAAATGGCATATTATATTATATTATTACATCACCTCCTCTCAGCTCCCCTCCCCTCCCACAGTCACTTGTTTTCCCCGTGCTCTGTCTGTCCTTAATCGATTCCTGAGCCAGGGAATGCAAGGGGGAGGGAAGGAGAGTGCAGAGAGACAGAGCCACTACTAAGGAAGAATATGGAGAAAAGAAGGGAGGGAGGGAGATAAGGAGAAAGAGAGAGAGCAGCTGCCCAAGATGAATGAGGGCAACGAGCAGACACAAAGAAAATAGAAAAGGGGGAGAGTATTTAGACAGAGAAAGAGGGAAAAGACAGTGCTGTGTTTCCATTCCCCTCTGGGTAGATGCAGTAAAGACAAACAGGTCAACAGTAAAGCAACACTGGGTTGCAGATTCCCCCTCTCCTCTCAAAGAAGACACTCATGTTTGACCTACAAACTGCCTTTTGTTAGGGGGAGCATCCTTTGTAGCTCCAATGTCCCCATTAGCTTCTGTTAGAACACATCAGCTTTTAACGACCTGCTTCGGGGAGAAATGAATGTGTTAAACTGAATGACTACATGTGGTAATACAGTGCACTGAGGTTAGAGAATAAACCACCGGAATAGTTGGTTTGTTTTCCCTTTTTAAATGCCACTTTGATTAACCTTTATGGCCCTTTTACTTTTGGTTGGAACTAGAAGGGCGATTGTGTCTAACCGAAAGCTATGTCAATGTGTGTCTTGTGTTAATGTGTTTCTTTGCTTCTCTGAGTGGAAAGCAGACAAAGAAAGCCGTCTGTGTTGCTGCTGTACAGAACAGACGGATGGTCGCGTGCCTCACGTGTATCCCTCAGTCTATTCCCTTTTCTCTGGTCTAGACCCTCCCTCGCTAATCATCTTATTACATAACGCTGCTACTGCTGAATCTGCCTGGTTCTATAACATTTATATTCCTCCTCCCCTTCCGCTCTCTTTCCCTTTTTCATTCTAAACCCAAGTGAACCCCCTATGGTTGACCCGTGTATTACTTTTTCTCAGGGAACATTTTGTACCAATCGAATAACAAAGGAATGCAAATGAGTCTGGCTTTTTTTCCTCCTGTCCCTCTGTCTTATAGAAAGGAGGAGGGCTCAGCACGTGCTATTGGCCGAGCCGACAAACCACAGTCTCTTCAGGCCCGCCCATAACTCCTCCTCTTGGCACAGACTGCTCCCCACTGATTGGGCAGACACACGTGTATTTACACAATGGCCCTGCCCTCTCTGGGTTGGGCCAGCCCCCTTCCAGCAGGACTAAAGTTTATTTCCTCACCCAGCCTCAGTTGAAAATGCCATATGTGTAAAAAAAAAATATATAAATATATATATATATATATATATATATATATATATATATATATATAAATAATAATAATAATTATAATTATATATATATATATATATATAACTCAGAGACATAGCCTAGCTAGAAACTTCTAGTCAGCCTAGTGCTTCATTTAGTCCAACTGTTGCGCTCGCCACGTTCTATTTATGCAAATGTCATCTCGGATAGACTAAAGTATTTTTTAAACATTAAGTTCTATGGGTGTTGACACTCCTGAAGAGATGGTGCAGTTTTGGCAGAACTAGCAGACAGACTGGCTAATGTGCCTGCTCTTCCCCCTTCACCCCTCCAGGCAGCCGCAGACCACCGGACAGACCCCCATGGTGTCCCCCCGGGCAGAGACCACCCCCATCCCTGTGCCCACCCAGGTGCGGAACTACCAGCGCATCAAGCAGAACCTCTCCAACAGCCCCACCACCACGCTCTACAGCTCCCCCAGGTAAGAGATTGGGGAAGGTTTGGGAGGTGCCACTGTCCTGGGGGGTAACTCTGTGTTGTTGTTTTTATCGCACTACTATGCTTTATCTTGGCCAGGTCGCAGTTGTAAATGAGAACTTGTTCTCAACTGGCTTACCTGGTTAAATAAAGGTGAAATAAAAAATAAAAATTCCCTGAAGTACAACTGTCATAGTTAAGAAGATGTTTGTTTTGTGGCTGCATACAGTCATGTTCAGAGACTAGTCTATCTTGTTTTTTGATCTCTGATGACTAACCTTTGGGTTTGGAAAATTCACCTTCAACTCTGTCAGTTATTGCATCAGGCAATTAAGTTTCACTAAGTTTCATCAGTTCAGTCAGTGGATATTGCTTGTGTTGTATTGTGGTGTGGTGGGGGGGGAAGTGTTTCAAGACATAGAAAGGGAGCGAATAGGAGGAGGTTTCGAATCTCCTTTAGAGGCAAATTAGTTGTATTGTTGTGCTTCTATTGACTGTTGTGAGAGGAGATAAGAACATTGCCACATGGATTAGTATAAAGTTCCTGTGGTGTTTTTTCAATGAGACTTACCCCCACACCAGTGGGCCGCCAGGGTTTTATGTTAATGTGTGCTCTAATGTTATTGTGTTTCCATCAGTAGTGTGGCACTAAAGACTACCTACACAACCTCTGCATCATCAAGACTGTTGCTTTGCGAGAAGGTGTTAACGTTCAAAGTTAGCCAGTGTTATGTAAATGCAGGCTGAAAAGTACCTAGGGTCTTGCCTTGGCTCCAAGTTAGAGCAGGTCTGCCGGAGCCATGTCCCAGTGAGACATGGGTGCCGGCCTGCATAGATGGAAACAAAAAAGTCTGAGCCTTTTGTGTAAGACATTGGGGTAAATCTTCAATGGAAATGTGGCACTGGAGTAGCCTAGCTCCACAGTGAACCCTTAACCCTCCACCCTCTACTTACTTACCCTCACCACAGGGCCCCAAAGCCTGGGCAGCAGGTACTGAGTAGCCAGCCTCCCCCAACTGCTACCCCATTTCCCTTGGCCCTGGGTCTGACTCTGTGTCCTCCAAGGAGGATTAAGCTCTCTGTCACAGACAGACTACCCTGTCCCTTGACCGTGTCTGAGCTAGTTAACAAGTTAGCGCTTAGCGCCGGTTCTTTATGATCAAGAAGAGATGAATGCAGAGAGCTAGCACAGCAGGCTAGCAGACCGACAGTGTGCAGGCATCTCAGGGGAAGACTGGCTTCTATATGTGCCCGCCTGCTGCCTAGTCTTTCTCTGTCAGCCATTTTTCATTTTTACTCCATGAAGCTCAAGAGAGGAAGTGAGGCAGAAAGAGAGAGAGAGTGGAAGAGTACTCGCTATCAGCACAACAGTTGCTCAACCAATGTTTTTCGCGAGGATAGGCTAACAGCTGTGTTTGAAGTCCTGTGCTTGCAGCGTGACAGGGTTGTCTTGGCAGCAAACTGACGGTCGCTGAATAACTCAGGAAGTTGAAATTAGAACCAAGCGAAAAAGGCAACAGTTAGACACTGAGCTGAGGGAATGGAATCTAGCTAAGCTCATTGCCAAAAGTTTTATTAAAAGTTAGTTAATGTTTTCAGATGTTTCGGAAAGGTTATTCAAGTGTTATTCCATGATAAACATGAAGGATAGTGGTTGGAAACTAGAGCATCGCTGTAAGCTGCAATAAAAAGGGTGTTCATGAACTGTTAGACAAGTGATGAAGGTTGGTGGTGTTGGTTCTGGTGGACAAACAATGAATGTGTGTAACATTTTTGTTATGTATGTACTGTATATTTGTGATATCTAAACCTCTATTGTGTGTGCTTGTTGTCTATGCAGGTCTGGTACAGTGAGGCGGTCCAACACCAGTCCCATGGGTTTCCCTAAGGTTGGCTCTGGGTCCCCCAGCTCTGCAGACTGCAGCCCTCAGATGACAGGCAGACGTCTCTCTATAGGCAGCTCCCGCCCATACTCCCCCTCACCTCTGGGTAAGAACATGCCCCAACATGCCCCCATCTCATATCATTCAACACGCCTGGCATCATAATTATTTTACATTGAACCTTCTGTTGACATATAATGCAAAACTGCATTAATATGTCTGTGTGTTTCTCTTTAAGTGGGCACCATCCCAGAGCAGCTGGGTCACTGTTGCTGTGGACACCCTCAGGGCCACGAGTCCCGCAGCCGCAGCTCCTCAGGAGGTGAGTTCAGTAGACAGACCTACAGACAGATGGAACAAGACTGGGTTTCCCAAAAGCATTGTAGCACTTAGATCATCATAATTCCATTGAAACTAAATGGACGAAAGATGATCTTAGTGATACGATGCTTTTGGGAATCCCAGCCCAGGATCACTTTTTAAAGACACAGACAAAGGCAGCTACAGCAGTGTTTACATTTTCTTCCCTCTCTCCCCTGCTCCCCTGAGGCGGATGTTTATGATTGACAAAAGCCATGAGTCATGAGTCAGGTCCCTCTGGGAGGGAGGTTGTGTGTATGGGAGTTGAAGCGTTTCACTCACCCGTACATGCAATTTTCACAATTGTGTCACTGTTTGAGTCAAGAGGCCAGTATCCATGGCAAGCACAGTGTCATAGGAGGGACTTACCTTGAGCAAAACAATGCAGATACAGTTAGTATTTTGTCTCCATTTGAAAACCTGGAGATTAACAACACAGACTTGATGACCTACTAAAGAAGTTTCCGGGGTCTTTTTGAACTTCTCAGCAGCAATACCGTGAATGAACAAGACTCATTAAAAACATGAACCTAGTGGCCCTTCACTGCTTCTATTTTTGACTTGGTTTACTGTGGAAAAATACACATTTCAAGACTGTAGAGCCATCTAGTGGTGAATTGTAAATCTTCTCTCGATCAGTAGCAGCCAACTTTTACATTAAGTGATAAATAAATGACATGTATGAATGACTCTCTGTGTGTCTCTTTTAGGTTCTCCAGTGCCGTCGTCCCAGTTACTGGGGGCTCGCCTGCAGAGTGCCCCCACCCTGACCGAGGTCTACCAGACCAGACAGAAGCTCCACAAGCAGCTGTCAGACCCCATCCAGCCCTCCACCTCCAACTACCCCCCCCAGCCACTCCCCCCACCTGGGTCGCCCTGGCAACCTGGGCACCTCCCCCACCAAACACCTGGGCTCCTCCCCCCGCTCCTCTGATTGGCTGACGAAGTCGCCGCTGCCCACCATCATTGGCTCCCCCACCAAGGTCGGTTAAATTGATAACCATTTTGGCATATTTTAATCATAAGCCCAATTCTGTTTTGCTACGGTTTGTCCTAATTACCACAACCAGTAACTGTTGACCTCTATGTCCCTGTTCAGCCCATCTCGGCCCCATTCAAGATACCTAAGACGCAGGCGTCCTGTAACCTGATGGCCCTGGCAGACAGTCCCACACCCACTAAGACCCTGGCGGACGCACGGGACATCTGTGCCCACCACTGTACCCCATACCCCAGTGGCCGCCAGTCTGCCCCAGAGGCCAGCAGGACCACCTTTGGCAGGTAAAGGGTGCACTGTAGTCTTTCGCTCTCTCCTCATTCTCTCTTTGTGTGGGTAATGTTTCTCTTGCTCATCTCAATGTGTTCTCAATGTGTTTCTCTCCCCAGGTCTGTCAGTACTGGCCGTCTGTCTGAACAGCCAATCAGAATCACTCTAGGGGGACAGCCCTACCAGGGAAGCACAGACAGCCTCAACACAGAGCGGCCCATGGATACAGGTAAATAAACACACACACCTAGTTTTGTCCTCCCTGGTTTAATTAATGGTACAGATGTTTTTACCGTTAATTAGAAAAGAACTGGAGACAGAAAATGAGTTGTGAAATAAGTGAACGTAGTAAGAAATAACCTAGCTAGTAAACTGACCTGGACAAAGAACAACACAATTACAAACACGCACCAGTCTCTGCTTCATGGCTTCTCGCCCTGCATGAACTGCTTGGATTGGCTGCTCTGACAGGACCTTCCTGTGTAACAGAGAGCTTGATTGGCTTAGTGTGAATGACCGCCCCCTCCCTCACCCCTAGCCCCGGCAGGACCATTTGGGCTGGCTCAGCCTCAGGGTGGGGCGGCGAGTCCCCGGACCGTTCTCTTCACCGTGGGCTCGCCCCCCAACAGCAGCACCCCCCCTACCTGCAGCCACCTGGGCACCCGGCCGCGCACCACCTCAGGTGAGACCGCTCACTGCGTCAGCGGCTAACTGTTAGGCTAACCTGCTAGGCTAACCGCTTGCTAAACCCCTCTTCCCAAAGCTACACCCTCCTAGCTAACCTGCTAACGCTAATTACTACGACTCTGTGGTAGTCCTTCCAATGCCATGAGGTACATAACTGCTATTTAGTGGGCAATCTCTTGCCCTCTCCTTGTGCTGTTCATCTTAGTAGGTACTATCAATAATAGTCTGTGTCTCAATGGACTGAACTTTGTTCTGGAAAATCCCCCAAAAATCGGTTATTGTAAATTCTCTAGAATTCAAATTCAACCAATGAAAGGAGCAATCAAATTATGCCAAAGTGATAGGCCTACATAATGACACACATTAACAATAAGTGAGGGAGGTAGCGACGAGAGATGAAGGAGAGCAGAGCGAGGAGAGAGAGAGAGAGCGAGAGAGAGAGAGAGAGAGAGAGAGAGCGAGAGAGAGCGCGAGAGAGCGAGAGAGAGAGAGAGAGCTCGAGCGAGAGCTCGATTCAGCCAGATCTGAGACCAGCCATAGAGCAAAAGTGCCGCTAATCGTACAACCGCTCTCTCAGCGCTCTACTAGCTCTCCTCCATATCTCTCTCTTCTCTCTGCTCTCGCTCTCTCTCTCTCTCTCTATCTTCCATCTCTCTCTCTCTCATCTCTCTTCTCTCTCTCTCTCTCTTCTCTCAGTGGGCTCCAACGGTCGGCAGGCTCCTGTCTCACCACCAGTGGGCGGCGTTGTCCGTGGGCTCTCCTCCGGGCATGGCAATCGGGACCCCTCCCCCAGGGGGTGCAGAGGCAGGTCCCAGCAGCCTACGCTACGTCCCCTACGGTACCTCTCCCCCCAGCCTGGACGGATTCATCACCTTCGAGGCCCCAGAGCTGCCTGAGGAGACACTCATGGAGGTGAGGGGACCCTTGGTTTTTTGTGTGTGTGGCATTTCTATTTGCACACGTCTTTATGTGATATCTGACCTGTATCGTGTGTTTGTGACTACAGCGAGAGCACACAGACACTCTGATGCACCTGCGGATGATGCTGTCCTTCACTGACTGTGTGCTGGAGATCGCAGCGGTGCGAGCAGGAGGGACAGACCTGGGCGTATCGGCTGCCTCCCTCTACCCCCCTCAGGAGAGTGTGGTAGTGGACCAGATCAGCCAGCTCAGCAAGGAGTGGGGGTAAGGGAGAGACCAAAAATGGGGGATGGGGTTCACAGTTTAACTGAAAGTATTCTAGTTTTAGTTCGGACTGTTGTGAAAGACAATTCTGACGTTTTTAAGAAAGAAAAGCCATGGAAGCCATATAGGTTAGTAATGTGTGCTGTGCTGTGCTGTGGTGTCCTCTACAGGCAGGTAGAGCAGCTGGTGCTGTACATGAAGGCTGCCCAGCTCCTGGCCTCCTCGCTCCACCTGGCCAAGGCCCAGATCAAATCTGCCAAGCTCAATCCCTCCAGCGCCGTCAAGCAGGGTAAGACAAAAGTCCCCAGACCGGCACAGTGGCAAAACACTATAGTATTTGTGGAAGAAAATGTTTTATCTGCATACTAACTTAAAACACTTTAAATATCAATACTATCCATAAACATAATTATCATTATTTTAGTTTATTTTGAGCATAACTAACTTTCTCTCCCCCTCCCTCCCCTTCCTCAGTGGTGAAGAGTCTGAACGAGCGTTACAAGAATTGCATCTCGCTGTGTCGGCGGCTCACAGACAAGCTGAACCACTTCTTCTCAGACAAGCAGCGCTTCGTAGACGAGATCAACAGCGTGACCGCAGAGAAACTCATCTACAACCACGCTGTGGAAACGGTGCAGTCTGCAGCTCTGGATGAGATGTTTCAGCAGACGGAGGACATAGCCTACCGCTACAACAAGGCTGCCATGCTGCTAGATGGCCTGTCCAACATCCTCCAGGACCCTGCAGACATCGAAAATGTGGCCAAGTGTAAGTATCCACCCGCTGTCCTCAACTGTAGACTGGATACCAGTCTGTTTCTGCTACACCACTGTTATGTCATGTATGGCCAAAGCACAAATCCATCTGACAACCAGACTAGACCCCCCCAACAGGCTCTGTCAGAGACCAGACCAGCTCGTCACATTGTAGTGTATCAGAGACTCTGGTGTAGTGGACATGGATATTAATATGGAAAGTCAAGTATGTTAACTAGTTTCTCTTGAGAAAAATCCCTTTTAACCTCTTATCTTTAACCAGCACTCACAGGCTTACTTCAACCACTTAGTCCAGCTCTGAGATGCTTTCAGATGAGGCTTCAATCAGATGAGGTTAAGAGTGCACTATGCTTCTCTGAAAGAGTGTGTCATGGCAGCCAGGGCATTGTGACATAGAACAGCAGCTCCAGTCACTGTGATCTGACTGTGTGTTTGTCTCCTCAACAGACAAGGCCAGTGTGGACCGGAGAATCTCTGCCCTCTGCTACTGCACTGTCACACTGTACGAGTAGCAGACCACACACACATCAGGGGCAGTTGTGACCTCTCTGCCCAGAGGGACCACTATCTACCCTGACAATAGAACCTTGAGGACAAGCACGGAACCCTAAAGTTCCCCAACGTAGCAGTCCAAGCACCTTTCCGTTTTTATCTTTTTCTGAGTTTAAGGAAACAACAACACGACAGATAGTATTACACCTTCTTTGGCATCACAGACTGAACGCTGAAGTGCGCGAGAGATGATGCACACTTTCACTACCAAAGATGATCCAATGATCCTGGAACTGAGACATTCACAGGACATGAACAAGACGCAGGCATCTTCTCGCATGCTGTCTGTCAACCGACTCCTTGAAGAGAGTGGGAGGAGGACACACACCACCAGGTCAAACAAACTATACCCAGCTTTTTGTTTCCGACTTGCAGGATTTTTTTTATTTTGTACCAGAAGAAAGACATTGACATGAGGACTATGACAATCTATTGTGGGCCCAGAGACTTATACACCCATGCAAATCACAGTTGTTATTATAATGTAAAGGTTTTTACTCTGTATTAGTATTGCTGTTGTGATTATTTCTTGGTTTGGGATAGGAGGAGGAGGTTGTGAAGGAGGATGTTGTGATGCCTGACTGACATCGTCTTTAGTATTGAAGTGTAAGGAAGGAGTATATGAGATTAGTAAACTTAAAGGCAGGCAGTCTAGCCAACACTGTAACAAATACACACACTTTACAATACATGTACATACAATAACACACACAGTTGTTACACAAATGGAAGGAAGCCTGAAGAGCAAAGGAACCTGTAGATTTATGATTAGATCTTTTTGTTTTGTTCATTTGTTAGCTGAAGCACTTTATTGTGAAAAGTGGGGGGGGACACTTTGCCCTGACAGGTTAGGAAAGAGAAATGTGAAGGCTGCCAGCGGTAGCTCAGGTTGGTTAAAGGGATGGGGGGGTTCTCTCTCTCTTACCCTCCTCAGCCCACAACACCACTTGCCCTACCACAGCTCTCCCTCTCATTGCTGGGCAACCTGCTCGCACGCTCTCTGACTCTTAAGTGTTGCTGTGGAAACGGGGTGAGGGGTCGTAAGAAACGTCCAGTCTCTACACATCTCCACACCACTGGTAGGCTTTTAGAATACTATGGCAAGAAGAAGCCTGTGGGTGACAGAGAATCGGACTAGAACATACGTTTTCTTTGCCCCTGGAACTTTTAGCAGTGACCAGCACAGGCCCCTAGGCATTTGGGGAGGAGGGGTTCCTGATCAGTTAACCAAGGGGGAACGCCCCCTCTCCAGGGTGAATCAAGACAAAACAGTTAAATTACTTGAGTAGTTACCTTAAGTTTCATTTTCGCTAAATAATACAGAAACAAGCTTTTTTATGTTCATACATGAATAACTGTAGCTAATTTCCAAGTAAATTGATGTTTGCAAAAGTGTAAATATTTGTATGTTGTGCATGTTATTTTGTTTTCCTGAGTGAGTGTGTGTGTGAGAGCACAGTGAGAGTGAGGCGGTCAGTGAGCGAGACGACGCCATTGGATGCCCTGCCTATTAATCAAAGAGCACAAACATTTTTATGTACATAGAGATTTGATACGTCCTTTTACCCACGCCTGCCACGGGTTCAGTCAACCTACCTCCACTAGAGGTCCCTGGCACAGAGGAATGTGCCAACCACAAGGCAGCTGCTCCAAACATCTCCACACAACTTCCTCTTTATACTAGGACTGTTCATATACTATACCGGATGGGGATTCTGTGTGGAGAGATCAAATCTACTGTGTATTGGAAGTAAAGAAAGGTACTGCTTAGCATCCATTCAAGTCTGCTCCGCTCTCTCCCCAAGCATTCACTGTGCTCGCAATACAATAGTGTTAGTGAGTCTACGCACGTCAGGTATGCAAAAGGCCAGTGATCATAGAAAGTCCATTACAGAAGAAGAAGAGCTGCCTCATAAGCCTGTTTAAAAAGTGGGCAGACTCCTTTGATTTCCTATTGTACAAGTGTGAATAGTGTGTAAATGCATAGACTTGCAACTGGTGGGCACTAGCTCTTTTTATGATGTAATGTTCCTTTTTTATAGACATATCCAAGTTTCTGTGATTTATTTTGTTTTTGTTCTTCTTGTGCCCTCTCTCCCTTGCTCGTGAGCACTCCGCACCACAAAAAGCCTTTTCTGCACACTGAGTTGAGGGAGAAAAATATTTAAACAATAGTCAGAAACTGTCTGAACTTACCAAATCCATGCATCTATTTATAGCGCTGTAGTTTTAGGCCACACTCCCTCACTAGCATTAGTTTATGAAGAATGGAGTACTAATGATGGACTGTTTCAGAGACAAACCATTGGTACCAAACACATGTTATATCCCGTAGAGTGAATGTATTTGCCCTCCCTGTCATTTGCACCTCAAGCTCGAGCTGAATGCATACCAACCCTCGTGATGGTTAAGCTCCCCCTCCTGAACCGACCATGACAATGCAACTGAATTTCCACGCACCTATTTTTCAATGAGAAATGTTGATGTGTTACTTGATGTGAGTTAAAGGGCATCTTTCTTTATGGAACTCTGCAAATGCAGCCTTTGTTAATTAAAAAGAAAAGTTGAAACTACATGCATGGTCTGTCTTACTTCATAGAAAATACTAATATAACATTTGTGGGTCCCTTATTAACACTAGAAAAGCTGGGCCTCGAGGGACCCCCATTTGAGCCAATGAGCAGTCATTTTTACTCAAACATTCTAACATTCACTAGATTGAGCCAAAATACTGCTTCAAAGTACTGTATGTTTCAAACCATCATGTCAATCTCATGGACAATCAGTCCATAGTTATGATGGTGGTTACATACAGTTTCAGAGTGGTTACATTTCTCCAGCCCCATCCCTCAGCTGGAGTAACTTTATCATCTGTCTAACAAGCAAGCATCCCCATCCCTACAGATTCTGATAGCAAAACTTTCACAACAGATGACATAATAAGCTACACAAGGGGCTCATTCTCTGAACATCACCTAATAAATGGTTCTCTATGGAACTAATCTAACTCTTCCAGCCACTTCACCATTTACTGCCAAATAGAAAGTGACAGATGGGGAGGGAGGGATATTTTAGGACTGTGTTACTGAGTATGTTTTCTGAGGACACAGCAAATTATTTTTCCTTGAAACAAATTCTGCATAGAAACTGTTTGTGGCAACTTTCTAATCTCAACTTCAGCTGTTTATTTTTACAGACCTGAACAAGTCCAGTTAGAGGAGAGATGCGGCCAGGTTCCCAAATTCTGCTGACAACAGGACCACTTCTGCAACAAAACAAAGGAGCAGGTAAGCCCACAGTTGAATAGACATTGCTATGTTTTCTCTCTCCACTTCAGTGTTTTTCATACCTGCCTCTTCATCTGTCTGTAGGTGTGTGTGTGCGTGTTGGGGCCCACTCTCTGTCATCATATTGTGAAAACAATTAATGCAGCCCAGAACCGACAGATGGACGTGGGGAGCCCAGTATTGTGCTGCAGCAGATGTTGATAATAATTTCTCCCACTTGGCCTTCCCATCCCTCTCTCACCCTTATTTTAAGTGTTTCTAAAAAAATCCCCTTTGGGAAAAATGAATGGTGGAAAAACGATTGGAACCGTTTCCCTGGTAGACCGCTAAGTTTTATGGGTATTATGACACCTCCACTGTGGGGCTCTATTGCAAAACATTCTTCATACAGTATCCGTAACAATGGAATAATTTCATGTCCGTCCCCGAAGCAACAGTCTCGCCACTAGAGTGCGCACGGTTCGTGTCCAACTTCAAAAGCGATTGGAAAAAGGAGAGGGGTGCTAGGTGAAACCTGTCGGGACTCCAGTACTCTACGAAGAAGTTGGGGGAGTCTCGTCTCGACCTCAAGTCAGGATAGCTAGTCACAGCACTGACAGTTAATATAAAACCGCAAGAAATCTCTCTAATTTGCCTGAACCGCACAATGATATGGGATTTACAAAAATGGGAGCGGAGGTTGCGCCTCATGCAAGATTCCTTGGCGTGGTGAAGTGAACTGGATTGTCCAGGCGAGCCAACTGTCTAAATTCCTATTTGATGGTAAAGGTATGTCTGAAAATGTGTGAGCAAGTTAGAATAGTCCTTATTATCAACGGTATTTTAGAGTTTTCATTGGATTTCAAGGTTTCTAAGCCTCGGAACGACGGAGGTCAGATCAGATTTCAGATTTCTCAAAAACTGCGCCCCTCCTCTGATAGGCTATTTGGTTCAAATTGTACCTATTAGTTAATTACAATTATAGTAATATACTTTATATTTTAAAACCCTGAAGACTACTTATTCACAGGCCAAATCCGTAAAACTTGGTTGAGTGATGTGCTTCAGAGAGAGTGACAACTGACAGAGGAAGGTGGCGGGACTTGGGAGTAGTCTGGTAGATATGAGATTTGATTAATTTCTCAGGTACCACACGGATGAGTTTGACAGTCTCAGAAAAGTCGGTAGGCTGCAAGGTAAGGCGAGGTATGCCACGGCTACAGGAAATGTGATCTTTAGCGGCAAACGAAGTCAATTTGCTAGCCTTGTATTACTCACGGAGGCCAGTTCATATTGCGCTTAAATACAGCTTTTTTTCTTCTTGAAAGGGGCGTGTAGGCATCCTATATGGAAGGGCTTTGAGTCAGACTTTAAAGATTGCAAGCAAGACATTGCCATGGCTTTACAATTATTATGGTAAACATGAGAAACGTTTTCTTTTTAAAGAATTCACTCAAAAATCTAAATGTTCATGCCTCAAAAGAGGTTTAATGTTGAGATAATCTCATGCCATCATGTCTATAGAATATGTTTAAAGCTAAATCATAGTCCAGATGCTAGGACGCGATAGTCCGGCGTCCCATTGTGACATAGCTAGAGGGCTATGAGACCACCATCCACGGGGGACACACCCAATGCCAATTATGCACAATACTGTGTATTCCTCAATACCAAATGAATGGAAAAGATAG